GGTGATACGCTAGAGCATGTTCTGCGGGCAGTGCGGTCATGGCCCCGATGGCTAGAAAGGTGCAAGGCAGTACAGATGACGCCACCGGATGCATCTGTTCTCTCGCGAGGACTATTAGCACTGAATACAAAGCATATAGAGTCGTCGTCAGATGCTAGCTTTCGCACTTCGATGTTGAGGTCATCGTTGAGGCTGGACGCTCGTCCAACCTTGGAGCAAGTTCAAGCTTATCAGCGCCACTTACAAGCTGAGCTCGAGGCCCTGGCATTGAGCATGACAAAGTCGACGACAGCTCCAAAGGTGCAAGCCGTAGAAGGACCGCTTCAGCCGAAGGCCAAGGATGCGGGTCAACGAGTACCACAAGGAGAACTGTGCCGATACTTTGCTAAAGCTACAGGGTGCAGAAGAGGTGAAAAGTGCAATTACTCACACAGCATGGCGTCGCTGGAAAAGGAGCAGAGGGCTAAGAAGTGTCTGAAGTGTGGCTCGGAGGCGCACAGACAGCGCGATTGTCCCGTGGGCCGACCACAGGTCAAGACACCTCCTGGTGGAAGTGGCCGCGACGGCAAAGAAGGAAAGGGAGGCCGTGGCTTAGCAGAGCAGCCGGGTGGAGCTTCTCAGAGTACCTCGGCGACGATAGCTTCGGCAGCCACCATGGGAGAGACTATCTCAGGCACGCCGTGGACGCTGGAGGCATTAGTTCAGGCAGCTCAGCAAGTGGTTCAGGTGCAGCCGGAGCAAAGGGGAGATAGTTCTCCAGAAAAGACGAAGCCAGAGATCAAGACCTTGATTTTGAGGGATATCAAGGTGTGCTCGATAAAGGGTTCCTCTACAGCTTTGGTGGATAGTGGAGCAACGCACAGTTTGAGGACGGCAAGAACTAAAGATGAGTGGGATGAGGCAGAGCTGATCACAGTCCAGTTGGCAGGCAATCACTTTCTCACAATGAGGATTACGCCAGCAGGCACGCTGCTGATGCCGCCCACCCGAGATGGCTGCGCTGGAAAAGGACAAGGTGCAGCCCAAACCATCGTACCAATGGGACAGCTGATACGAGTACTCGGCTACACTATGCACTGGAGCCCCAAGGAGTGCTATCTTCAGGATCAACAAGGACATCGGATTCCACTGCAGACTGAAGGAGGGTGTCCACAGCTTCGTGAGTTAGAGGCTTTGGCAATGATAGCGCGCCTGGAGGATCGCAAGCTCGAGGAGCTGAAGAATGCCACACTGCTGACAAAGGATAAGGTTCAGATGTCGGCGGTGGCCATGGAAAAGACGTGGGATGTGTTTCTGCTGGACTACATCACCAATGGATCCTTTGAGTCAGGACTCCGAGCTGTTCGGGATGCCCCTTTCTTTCATGATGTTCCTGGGGAGTGCCTTTCTGATGTTATTCCCTCTGCAGGTCTACGGTCAGGGTGGGATATCATGAAGCAGCTGGGATACTTTACCAGGGCGCAAAGGAGGAGGATACTTACAGCGAAGCGATGGGTGGTTCATCTCTTTGCAGGGAAAGATGGGCACTACGAAGTTTTCAAGCTTGACCAAGGCGATAATGTGGTTATAGAGCTGGATATCGCTAGATGCTGTGGGATGGACTTACTTCGCTCAGAGACATGGAGAATGTTGATGTGGGGTGCAAAGGGGGGAAAGATAGATGCAATCATTGGTGGACCGCCCGATAGGAGGCACCAGCAAGCCTGTGGAGGAACTCGTGATGCTCGCTCGGTTGCCTTAGTGTCACGAATGCTATGGCTGCATGCAATGGCACAGGTTGGTCGCGAGGTCCATGGCGGAGTACACAACCACAACAGGGAGGTTGCGTTCATGATTGCCCGTGCAGCAGCAGTACAAGTTGCCGAAGATGCAAGCAGAACTACTG